CCGCCACTGCTGCCTGAAACACCTCCGACTGTCGTCGAAGATCAAGGATCGTGTCAGCATTAAAAAGCACCTCGTGTGTTCGAGATCGGTCTTTCAGCTTCCCCATCGAATTTTCATTATCTTTATTTTACATTTTATTAGAAAAAATTCGTATCAAAAGGAATCACAATTGAAATAAGATTTTCTTTGTTAATTGTTTTTCGAGAAATAGTTAGAGATCTTTTTCGATTCCTTTGGTGCTGGGTCGAGTTGTAAAATTTTGTAAGAAATTTCAAAGCTACTTTTTTTTTTTTTAAATTAATATTTTCCTCGCATCGTTAAAAATAATCGACAAATTTTCGCGTTTAAATTGTAATTGAATTCTCCAAAATTGATTGGGTTGAAAATGAAAAGAAAAAAAAACGAGGAGAGAGTTTGGCACGGGAGGGTGAGACGCGATCGTTAGCATTCCAGATGTCCGGATACTAGAAGCCGCAAGTAGAGACGGCTGTAAGTGGTCAGCCGCATGGCCGACCTTATCTCGCTTGCGCCACTAACGAGGCTAAGTGAACACACGCCGCGTATAGTCAGACGCAGCTGCCGCTGCGTGGAATTTCTACCCTCGCTACTGAATACCACCTTCAACTTTATCACGTCTGTTACTACTCTACACTACCAACTATCCATTGGAACTAAAGCGATTTCGACCGCGAGGACCGACTATTAATAAACGCTTAGCCGAACGACACGTTTCAACCAACCACCATATGGAAAATGTATGATGGTATACGATTATTAATTATTATTATTAATCTTTTCGCTTTATATATTATAATTAACAATTTGAGGATCTCTTGAGTAAGATGAAACGACGTGGGAATATCTATTGCCAAATTTTTATAAGAAATAGGACACACATGGATGAGTCGAAAAATATTGAAAATACTTTTCTTTTTTTTTGGCAATTAATTTCCTCGCGAATAACAAATCGAGTGGTGCTCAAACGTCTCATCGAGAAAGGAATTAATCTCATCTCTCCAAGAACGTGATAGATGGTCGATGAAATTTAGATGGGGAGGGATCTTAGAGCCTTGCCTCCTTTTCTCACCGTGGGAAACTCACGAATTATTCATCGAGCTTCGACATTGTCCACTATCCATCGATCCTAGATTAAGGATTCGAAGAGGAAGGATTTCGATATGCTTGCAGACGTGTTGTGCGACCCAGGTAGCTTGTTTCGTGGTGGATTAGAAGAACTTTGTCTTTTAGAATTTCTCTCGATAAAAAATTCTGTAGATTTAGGAATGGAAATCTTGTTATTTATTCTTTCAATGTTCGTTCCATCGGATCTCTCTTCTTTGAGGATTTTTTCTATAATATTGTATATTTATTTTTTTTTATTTAAAATCTGTTCGAGCAGAATCGATTCTTGAAATGATGAAAATTTTATATATATATATTTGGAAGATCGATAAAATAATAAATAATAATAAATAAAAGAATCATATGATGAGATGAATTCTCCGCAATTCTTACATCCATAATACTTTCCACCATTCGTGCGACGAATGACGTTTCAATTCGACGAATAAGAAGCCACGATACCGTACTCTTTTCCCTTGAAAATTATTTCTTGAATATAGATATTTAATATCAACGCTTTTCTTTTCTATTTACAGATTTATATTCAAGCAAAGAAATATGAAATATTTCCAAAGAGGTTTCAGTGAAATCTAAAAAAAAAAATATTTTCTGCAATTTTCTTTTTACATAAATTTAAAGTAAATACAAAGAGGATAAACGAATGTGATTTTTACATCTCTGTTTGAAAATATAAGAAGAGTCTGGAAGTGGGAAAGGTGTATTTTTCGACCGCAAGAGATTTCACGATCGAGTACCATTAACCCTGGAGAAACGTTTCGTAGATTCTCCGGGCGAAGGTCCTTCAGCTGACATAAATAATAGGGATTTCTCTCCACCCTGGCAGGAATTTATCGTTCCCGAAAACTGCGGGTCATTTGTTTCCTTCTCAATTCCTTTTAAAGGAGTGGCCGCAAAAATACACTGGGATCTGACACAAGAGGCAAGACCTTAGAACCAAAGAACAAACGTCATCAGTCTTCCCAGTTTCAGTTAGACCAACCAATTTCGTGTTAAATTTATGAATTCGCTGATGGAGAAAGAACAATCTGAACAATCTTTTATTCGAAAAAGTTTTCGTTTCCTTCCTCCCCTCCCCGCAAAATAGAGATTTATGTGTTTTCTTCTTACACTCGAGGTATCTGCAAGTATCTTTTTGGGTTACCATTTTATTTGTTTACGAAGATGCTCGTAAACTCAGATATAATCTTGCTAAAATTTCTCAAACGTTTATATAGTTTATCGATTTAGAAGTATCTGTGTAACAAGCTAACCTAGATTGTGATTTTTAAACCTACAATTAATAATCGTTTCAATTAAAATTCTATTCAATTCAACTTTTGCCTCTGTAACGATGTATCTTCAAAGTTTCCAAAGATCCTCTCCTTGTTATCTTTCCTCCATCTCGACACAAAATTTATTAATTAATATGAACGCGTATATCCCAGAACATCCCTCACGTATTTCACACATCATACACCTGATATTAATTCAAACGTTTGTAATTAGAAAATTACTGAAACGAAAATGATCGTAAACAGAATCCCAATTAAATTCGAAACCGCCAGTTTCAAAATTATCCCCGACATAAATCGAAAATCCTTCCAAAACCCTCTTCTCCTCCCGAAAATCGAAATTACCAAAGCCATCCATTTTCATTTCAAACGACTATCTCTCATCACCAAATTAATCCTCTCTCTTTCCCCACCTCTTCCAGAAAACCTCACACTCAGAAACAGTGTTCTCAACTCGAGAATCCCTTTCCAAGGGATGGAGCGGAGTGGATGATTCCACGTGGATGGAAAATCCGCGAAACACTCGAACTATCCTCGAGACGTCGGTTATCGATTAACGGAGAACAAGGTTGCGAATCGAAAAATTTTCGAGGCATCGGCAATCCGGAAAGAAACTTTGCCGGATGAAAACTGGATTCGTCTGGAAGCGAGATCCCCCCTCGTGAAAGGAGAGCGACGGCTCCATGGGAGCCCATTCACCGTGCTCGTTCAAAAGGAACTTTTAATTTGCGCCAACCAGCAGATTTCAATGGGCGCTCGACTTTTGGCATTGTGAGGCAAAACTGCGCTCCTCCTGTCTCGCCCACTGTGTTTCGCCCTGTGATAATGCGCTCTTCTTGGACGAGACGAGGCAGGTTTCGAAAGATGAACCGGTTCGATGAATTTGTTTTTCCTCTTTTCCAATTTATTGAACGCACAACAGTTAAGAAGTTAACACGATATTTTCAAGATTAGGAATATCGTAGGTGAATTGTAGAATGAAGAAAGAAGAAACTTTAGAATAAATTGTTAAGTTTTCGGGATATAGAGATGGATTATCGAATGAAATTCGATCTAACTTTTGCTCAATTCATTTATTTAAATTAGGTTTGGTTACGAAAGAAAGGGGGAAATTTCTAATCTGGATTGGAAGTGTGTAATAAATTTATTGAAAGAAAATTTTTGAAACGAGACGAGGCAGGTTTCGAAAGATGAACCGGTTCGATGAATTTGTTTTTCCTCTTTTCCAATTTATTGAACGCACGATAGATAAGTTAACACGATATTTTCAAGATTAAGAATATCGGAGGGTGAATTGTAGAATGAAGAAAGAAGAAACTTTAGAATAAATTGTTAAGTTTTCGGGATATAGAGATGGATTATCGAATAAAATTCGATCTAACTTTTGCTCAAATGGAATTCATTTATTTAAATTAGGTGTTTGATTACGAAAGAAAGGGGGAAATTTCTAATCTGGATTGGAAGTGTGTAATAAATTTATCGAAAGAAAATTTTTGGCTATCGATTAATTGTTAAAGGAATTTATATTAATGTATCTATATATACACACACACATTAGATTTGATTATCCGAATTATAGAGATGTCAGAATTAGAGAGAATCAGAGAATTTCTATCACGGTACATGAATTGTATAATTTGTTTGTCCCGTTGCAGGTCCATTATGAGATGTAGATAAATTGTAGAACTCTGGTTCTATAACAATGAATATTCCGGAATTAAGCGCTTTCTATAGACGATTGCGTATATAGACCATTTCGAATGCATTCTCCATTTGAGAATTATGCAAGTTATGGAATTAATTTTAAACGTGTTTAAGCTACATTACGTTAATTTCCTCTTAAGCAAGATACGAATGAAATTACATATACTATCTTTGAAAATATAGCAGTAAACATATGTATAATGAAATTGGAAATTGTAATACCGTGAAATGATTCCGTATTTTTTCGGAATTGAAAGTAGATTTTTAATAAAGGAAGTTTTCAAGAATGAAAATTCCTGAAATACTTCTCGATCCTCGAATTTTACGTTAAACAGTTCTACAGCAGTTGAAATCCCATAGATAGATATCTCTCCTTGAAAAACCAGATTCTCAAGTAGCTTTCTCCATGGACAGATTTTCAAGGTTCTTCGACTTCAAAAGTCCATCTCCAAAATCATCTTAAGTAGATCTTTGGATGCAGTGAATTTCGTGAGCACATCTTTCAAATCAAAATCCTTTACGATTACTCTTTAAGTATTCTCGATCGAATCGAGCTATTTTCAAAACAGATTTGAAGTTCTACCCCGCGAAATCATCTTCCTCGTTTCCAAAATAGAGACATTTTTACGAAAAATAATTTTTTGTGAGATAGCTTTTCAGAAGAATGGTATCAAAGTTCCACAACGAGTCTATCTTTTAATTGTATCTTCTAGTCTTTCAATTGCAAGTTTGCAATAATTATTAAACCCTTCCTTCTTCTAAACACCAAATAAAATCTCACTTTATTTTATTTATTTATTTTTTTAAACTACCTTTCGACTTTTTCCAACTCTTAAACACGCTGAATCGAATCAAAAGTTTGAACCTCGAAACAAAACAAATATGAGTTCCTCCTCGGATTCCTCAACTTTCGCATTTTGAACAATTACAAGATTTTCTTGAAAACGTTGAACAGGGGATTGCATGCGCAAAATGGTCGCAGAAGAACGAAATGCGGCTTTACGAGTCGGTGACTAACCGGGACCGGATAATTGAGGGACGGACAAAGCGGCCACGTCGTCCGGAACCACGACATTGTTCGAAACTCTTCACGCTTGGCTCAACCGTGTCCAAAATGCTCCGCGTGCCCGCCGTACGCCTGGGTTAATTAGATACGACCGTCCGACAAACTGTCCTCCGAATCGTACGTCCTGATTCTTGTCCCGTGATCACGATAATTCGCGGCCCCTGCTCAGATCAGGGTAGGGGAGGGCCTTGTCTCCCTCCACGCCGATTCCTCCGCATGTGTGCAAACTGTCGAGTGGTGGAATTTGGAATTCGAAATTGGAAACTGCGGAATTGAAATGGCAATCGAAGGATTCGAAGGTTGGGGGATATTTTAGAACGTTTTAGATAGTCAGTGGTATGTACTTCGAATTGGAAAATTAATTGAACACTTGTCTCTGATTCGCGTGGAAAATGTTGGATAAAATTGTTGACGTTTAAACGCGTTTTAGTTGCCGGAAAAAATTCCAATTTTTCATCCAAGCATCGTCCATTTCTTTTTTTTACAAATCATAATTATTAATCATGTTTGAAATTAAATTATGTGCTTCAATATTTTCAAAGATAGTTCGATAATCATTCTCAGGAAACGAAAAGAAAAATCAATTTCGTTCTGATATTAGGCGGGAAATTTGAAAGCTCCATAATTCCAACACATCCGCCAAAAAATTTATCCTTTAATTTTTCTAAATTCAAAAAAAAAAAAAATATCCTTGAAATCTTTCATTCTAATCCCTCCATTTTATGTGCTTCAATATTGTCAGAGATAGTTCGATAATCATTCCCAGGAAACGAAAAGAAAAATCAATTTCGTTCGCATTCTGATATTAGGCGGGAAATTTGAAAGCTCCGATAATTCCAACACATCCGCCAAAAAATTTCTCCTTTAATTTTTCTAAATTCAAAAAAAAAAAATATATCCTTGAAATCTTTCATTCTAATCCCTTCATTTTATGTGCTTCAATATTGTCAGAGATAATTCGATAATCATTCTCAGAAAACGAAAAGAAAAATCAATTTCGTTCGCATTAATATTAGGCGGGAAATTTGAAAGCTCCGATAATTCCAACACATCCGCCAAAAAATTTATCCTTTAATTTTTTCTAAATTCAAAAAAAAAAAAAAATAAATATCCTTGAAATCTTTCATTCTAATCCCTCCATTTTTTCCCACCGATTCAAACCAAACCAGACGAGATTCGCAAAGATTTATCGGGCCTTTTAATTAAAAAGCTGTTGTCGAGCGTGTCTAACTAACGTGGTAGCAAAGAATTACCCTCTCCCTCCCTCTCTCGGCCAGAATCCAGTCAGCCGTCTAGTAAATCGAATTAACGAACGGATTTACTTTAATTAGCGCGGCTAATTAGGCCGCTTTATGAGTCGCGCTAATTGCCAGGCGCGCACGCCATCCGACGACGAGTTATCGCGCGCTCAAATAAATTTCGATCGCGTTTACAATGGTGTTCGAGCTCCGAGAAGGGTTGGAAAGAGCGAAACAGGGGGGTATTCGTTTGATCGTGTCGATAAAAATCATGCGGAAGGAACAGTTGTTCTGCCTTCTCTGGCAGAATTTCTTTGACACGAACGGGGGCTGTAAATCAAGGGGTGACTCGAGCCAAGCGTCATCCTTCATTTTCTTTCGAAACTATGGAGGAAGAGGATCTTGCAATTTTAACCCCTTATATACGTCTCGTACGTTAAACGTAACTGAATATTATTATATTATCGTGTGAATTTCTATTTCGAATTTGAAGTTTATTAAGTTGAAATGAATGGAATCGAAAATTGGCAGGGAAGAATTTTATAACGAGATGAAAATTACGAGAAGAAAAATATATTATATTAAATTTCGACTTCTCCAGAGATTTAATCGAATTCCTTCATGAGTTCATCATCCCTCATCCCTTGATTCCAAGAAATTTTCGGAACTTTCGCAAATACCTTGCCTCGATTCTATGGAACTTTCTCGGAGCCCTTATTCCTCTTCTACTTTCGTTCGTACGTGCCTTGAATCATCGAGGCTCGTCGTAGACGTGACATGGCGTCGATTACGTGAACTTTTGTCGGTGTACGGCAAAGGTGATGGAACAAGGAGAATCTAGATCCAAGAGCTACTTGGGCCGGAGTTGGAAGCGCGGTTTGAGCGCGTCTATCGATGCGACCTCGGGGTCGCGGCGTTCTACCGCCGGAAGTGAGTGTTTCCCCACCTCGTACCGGCAATGTCAACGAGCGGTACACGAAACGGTTTGATAAATCGGAGGATTTTTTTTATGGAGGAATATTACCATATTTTTTTCGCACGTTTCGTTCTTCGCGGAAATGAAAAGAAGATGTCTTCCCAACGATAATTTTTTTATACGGTTCTACGGTTTTGAAGAAGAAATCTCCCTTTTTTAAGAATATGGATAAATTTTTTTCATTATAATACGCGAATTAATTTATTTTCTATTTGATTCTCAACAAAATTATTCTCGTGAATTAACTCTTCACTCAATGAACATTATTTTACAATTAACGTGCTAAATTATAAATTAATTCCAACGGCAGATTATTTCGATTAAATCGATCGTAATCAATCTCTAATTAATATCCAGCAAGAATGGATTGCAACATTAAACTAATAAATCTTAATCAATTAATAAACAACAATAACAAATAACTTCTCGAAACCAGACGTTTATAGCCATCACAAACGGTCTTAACGCGCGTTATTCACACTCGTAAAAAAAAAACCCATCAACGTCAACTTTTAACTGCGAAAAATGAAAAATTCGTTTATCAAAGTCCTCCTTTTTTACCTGCAAATTAACGAGTCGATTGATCTCCTTATATACCTAAACAAACCTATTCAAATTTTACAATTACAACAATTACAACAATTGTACCGACCAATCTCGAACGAAAAGCAAAATGACGAATGAAAGCGTAATGTATAACAAAAAAAAAAAAAAAAAAAAAAAAATACATGTATATGCACAACTCCCAATAGCCTGTTGATCGACGCCGTTTGGAGGCGGGGGCGGGCTGAAGCTGGCCGCGGTCGGGGCACCGGGGGCGGTTGGATGTGGGGCACCAGCCGGCGGTGGAACCTGGGGGCCGCTGGGTGGTGGCTGTTGGGGTGCGCCGCTGTTGTCCTCTTTCACCGGCACCGGGGGCGGTGGTTTCACCTCACCGGCAGCCCCTGCCGCCCCCACGACACCCGCTACGCCGTTCACCGGCGGGGGGAAGACACCCCCACCGTAGGGCGCAGCCATGCCTGTCTGCACCATGTGCTGCGAATAAGAATAGCATATGTTATTTCGATGGATATTTTTAAGTAGATATATATGGTAGATCAGAAGAAAATCATGAGAGATTTAATATTCTTGGAGTCTCGTGTTCAAGGAATGAAACGAATACGTTTCTGATAAAAAATGTCGTAGAATCTCAAGTGAATTTCGAGGAGATAATCTTTGAGGTTTGATATAGAGGATAGAGAGTTAATTGATATATTTCTTTATAGAATAGCATATGTTATTTCGATGGATATTTTTAAGTAGATATATATGGTAGATCAGAAGAAAATGAGAGATTTAATATTCTTGGAGTCTCGTGTTCAAGGAATGAAACGAATATGTTTCTGATAAAAAATATCGTATAATCTCAAGTGAATTTTGAGGAGATAATCTTTGAGGTTTGATAAAGGATATAGAGGATAGAGAGTTAATTGATATATTTCTTTATAGAATAGCATATGTTATTTCGATGGATATTTTTAAGTAGATATATATGGTAGATCAGAAGAAAATGAGAGATTTAATATTCTTGGAGTCTCGTGTTCAAGGAATGAAACGAATATGTTTCTGATAAAAAATATCGTAGAATCTCAAGTGAATTTTGAGGAGATAATCTTTGAGGTTTGATAAAGGATATAGAGGATAGAGAGTTAATTGATATATTTCTTTAAGAGTACAACACCTTTGGAGGATAAGGATGAAACGAATACAACTCTTGATAAGACAAATTCGTCTTATCGATGTAAAGTGAAAATTTGATGTTAATTAATATGTGGGATGTGTTTGGAGAGGCGAAGAAACAAATTGTTAAGTCACGGATAATTTAGAATACTAAAATTTGTGATAAGTACTCGATTTCTTTTAGTAATCAAATTAATCTCGATAAAATTCGAGTCGTCTTTTAATATCACGAGAAGTGATAGTGTTATTGATACTATGAAGTAAATAGATCACTTTTGTGAGAGATACTAAAGGAAATCGTGAACCCTTATCGTACGAACCCTGTCATACGGAGGCGAGAAGATGACTAGTACAAGGGTATTCCATTCCCTCCGTTTGACACGCAGTTTCAAAGTCTCCTATTGACCTTTTGGTAACATCCTTTAACATTATAGTAAGATAGATTAAATAGAACACCCTATTGCTTTGAAATTCGTAAATCTACCTTGAATTTTATCAGCACGATGCACAAATTCTGAGAAAAACTGCTATTAAATAACGGCCAATCAATGATCTAAATAATCCCATCTCAATCTCTATTTCACACATTTCAACAACTGAATTTCTATAGTACAATTTAATAAATATCTATAATACTATTCTACTATTCTATTATCCATTTAAAAAATTTCTAAAAATATCAAACTAAACGAAAACTAAACATGAAAATATTTTAGATTTATTTACTACGAAACCACTTCGAATTGCCCCGGCCACAGAACGTTTAACCTCCAGAATAGTTAGATATTATCCTCTATCCTCTATATAATCGAAATATTTGCGCATCGCTGCACATCGTGCACAAAACTTCCAACACAACCAAAATTCCTAAATATCGCAACCGCGGGTGCAGCATACCTCCAGAAATCCCTACTAATGAAGATTCTTAGAATACTAGATATCCAACCGCGGTTATAAATAGCGTAATATTCTGGCACAACTCCACCATAGTGTCGTGGTTCACCGCACAACTGTTCAAACACCTTCACGCGCCTATTTCTTCCTCTCGGAGGAGGAGGAGGAGGAGGCCTACGATCCACTCCCTTCTTTCTCGTCGACGTACTCATCGCGTACTGCTCCAAACTGGTTTCACACGATCATCGTAACCGACGAATAAACAAGATTCGAGCCATCTGGATAGCGTTTCGAAAAAAGGAAAACAAAACTTTTTCGTAAGTAAAATCCGGAGATAAGAGCTACCGTTCGTATTTCCTCGAAACACTCGTAAACATTATCCGTAACAAAAATATCAATATCGAGGTTTGTAAGCATACTCGAAACCTCGAGTATACGAGGCATATTTTGAAGTATTTCCTTTCAATCGATAATTGAAAAAGATTATATATATATACACGACGCATATAAAGGATTTGAGAATAAAAGATTCCATTCCTTCTATCCCCAAATTCGAAACTAATTTATGTACAATACGACCACGTTTCAATCGTATCAATCGAAATTCTAAATTAATCGATTATTGAAAAATTGACTGGAAACCAAAATCTCGACTCGTATTATGGAAATATATGCATTTGCATTTGAAACGAGGCGATGATTTGTGCCTTGGTATAAATTTTTCACGTTGCAGCGACAATAAATACGCTCGATTGCGGCTATTAAAAGTAGACGCCGCAAATCATTTCGCGTGTTGCACGCGCCCCGATTAGCTACATGCTACATAAATGTAATCCCTCGTTTTTTCCTTCTTTCGCCCCTTTCCCACAGGATTTGACGGGAGAAAGGAAAGGAGAAAGAAAGAAAGAAAGAAAGAAAGAAAGAAAGGAAGGGAGAGGGGGCAATTTGCGCTCGTGGATCGGTTGGGTCGAACCGATGAACTTTCATTCATGAATCTATTGTTGTAATATCGGCCCGTGTATGCATATCGGCGGTATGCAGATGGGTTTCGGCTCCGCGAAATTAATTATTATCGACTAAATGGAATCCTGGGTGAAACGATATGCGACGCTCGATCGAAAGCATTATCGTCTGAGATTAATTGAGATGCTGATGTGTAGATTGGTGTTTATAGAGAGATTTGTCGGGGGTGTAAATTGGTTGCCGATTAATTTCGGTATCGGCTCAATCGTTCTTTCCTGTTTTATCGTTTTTTCTTTTTTCTTTCTTTTCTCGTTATCTTTGGCCTAGATATTTTCAGGCCAGATTATATTTAAACGATTATGTTATAAATATAAACGTCACAGTTATGGAGAAATATTATTTTTATAATTAAGTATCACGAGAGTTGAAAGTTAGTGGAGGATCTTATATAAGGGAGATTGGAAAATTTTTAACAGGATTATTGTTGGATTAGATTCTATTGTTAGGAGCAAAGATATTTCGTAGATTTATATATCATGTCACTGTTAAATCTTTGGTATAATTTTCAATTTCAATTTTATACAGGTACTATATATTGAAATTTTTGTTAAAAATATCTGTCTTTTAATAATTAACGAAATATCCGAGTCTTCTAGAATCTTAAAGAGAATCCTTCTCTTTATAATACGCAATCTTCTGCAATTAAATCATAATCTCTTTGCCATTTCTCCTTCTTTATGCTTCCTCGTAATCCTCCATTTCCATATAAAACGTATCATCATAAGACAATTCCTCTGTCCAAAAGAGAAACGTCTCCTCTCAAAGAATAAAAATATTGATAGAGAACAACAATCCTTACAGCAAGATGGATCATGGACAATGGAAATCGATCGTATATATATATTTCGTAAGAGACAGTTTACAGATGTTTCGTGTCTTTCGAGATTATTTCGAAACACGTGACCATTCAAGTTCCACGCCGCCATTTGTTCGCCCTCAGAAACCATTTTTCTCGAAGATCCATTCCAGGAGGTCGAGGCTATCCGTGGTGGTCATTTGTTATTTAGGGATGGGAAGTTGGTTCGTAATAAAAGTTTTGCTTGAATTTCTCAGAAGAAGTTTGGAAAAAAGAGATCGGTTATCGATGATATTCGGCTAAGATTTTTTTGGAATTGGAATCGGCGATCAGAGAGGGTGAGATAAATGTATGTTTTGTGAGAGTTGATGGAGAGTGTGAGAAGATTGTGTAAAATGGTGGATTTCGAATATTTTTTCTCTCTTTTTTTTGAAGCAATATAATTAACATCTTATTGATCTATTATCTTTCGATATAATTATTCGATATAAATCGTTGCTACAGTTTTGAAATAAAAAAAGATGATTGAAATAATTCGAACCATTTCGAAGTAAAATTTACGTCAATTCTGCCTCGTTTATATTTATGGGTAAAATCTACTGCATTTAACGATCAACCATTCTAGTATATTTGTTAAATCAATTGCAAGGTTTAATTAAAATCGAACGCATATAAACTTCAATTAACCCTGCTTCGAAAATTGCATACGAAATGATAATCATATAAATTTCAATACACAGCTCATTAAACCACAAAAATGGATTAAAATGTTTCGTTTCATTTTTTTATTTCTTTTTTCTAAAACTCTTTTTTCTAAAACTCAAATGAAAAATGATATCAAGATATTATATTAATATAAAAGAAATTTTCGACGAATCAAAGATTATTCCAGGGACTATTCCATTAGAGCCGCGTGCTTCGAATCGAAATTGGTGGAAATCAGCGCGTGGCTCTTTCAAAAGTCGAACGAGCAGCTGTGCGAGCCGATTAAATCGAAATTGGCGGTGAACAAGGCCAAGCTTCTCTTCCGTGAAACTTCTATACGAACTTGGCCAGCCAATTTATTTCTTCTGGCTTCGATAAACAAGCCGTCGATATGTCGGAAAGCCTCGCAGAATCAATCAAAGTCTGCGGATAGCGATAGAGCGAAGGGAAGAAGAACAGAATTTCCACGAAAGAAGCTCTCGGTTTAGAAATTAATTTCTCTGCGATTGTATACCATGTTTTCTCGCGATGAGGCGGTTTATGGCGGAAATCGGACGAAGAAGTATAAATATGGAAGAAAGAAGGTGGAACGCAATTTCATCGAGGAAATTTGATAATAAAAGATGATAGTTTTATATTTAAAAAAAAAAATGTGAATTCGATTTCTAAATTGTATTAAATATTTTTAAATTATTTATTGCGAGTAAAAGTTTTAATTTTAGAAATTGAGATCGAAATTCGAAGAGGGATGAATGTGAGAAAATTCTTGAGAAAAGAATTCTTGCGATCCTTTGATATATATATATATCAAAATTGATAAAATATTTTAAGAAATATTAAATCGTTAAGGCCAGCCCATAAAAATCCATTTCCAAGTTTGTACTGTCGAAAAATCGCA